AACAGTGATCTCGGTGGGCCAGATCAGGACAGCCAACCAAGAGGACTCAAAGCTCCTGAAAGAGACGGATCCCCTTTCGGGGGGCGGGGAGGGGTGGGGGCTGGAGTGCCCGCGAGCCTCTGGCAGCAACAACAATGATAGGTTTAGGATTAACAACCTTCCCCTGCCATCGGCCTGGGTGGATTACTGACGGCTACCAAAGCCAGATGAAATTTATTTCTTTAAGATACTGAAAGATTATTTCTTGACATTAATCTGAGGGGGGGTATTTATTTTTCCAAGGACTACTTTGAGGAGCCCTCTTTCCAGCTAAGCTGGTGGCCACGGGCAGGGGGGGGGGACTTTGCCTGTGCAGGTCATTCCCCCTCTGCCCCCCCCTTCCCCCCATCTTTACCCCCCAGAGAGCTTCCCCTACCTCTCTGCCAAGAACAAAGGAACTAAGGCTACTCCTCTCCGGGCCAGATTCCCCCACACACACCTGGCTCCAACCCATTCCTTTTAGAAAATCCTAGTCCGGCATCTCAAATTACAAACAACCTTGTTAACATGATAATGCATTCATTCGTCTGCTGGTGTTGTCTCCCGGTCAACTAGATGGTGAGGTTAACGGTTAACCCAGAAGGGGGAACATCCTGGGTCTCCATCTGGATTTTACCTTTGGTGGCTCAAGCTTTCCTACCTTCCTGGGGCCCGGCTACTCTGGGGGAAGCCCGGAGCCGCAGCCCACCCTCCCCCCCCCCGAGATAGCGTGGCTGGCATCACGCGAACCCCAACCCTTGAACATCGGGTGGGGTATGTCAAACCCACTCGCCCCCTTCTTGGCCCATGCAGTGCCTTTTTGGAAGAACCTTTCCTGGTGAAGCAGAGGGGGCTCGGGGGGGGCCTCCGAAGCGGGCAGCCAGATTTGGCGCCCGGTCCCTCCTTCAGGAGCCTTCCGGTGGGCCCCGGGCATTATCTCTGGGGTTTCGCAGCTGGCCTTTGGCATCCACCCCCTTCTCCGCCCATCGCTGGTGAGAGGCACCTCCTAGGGAAGGCCTGGGGGAGGGTTTCTCGCCTGTGGGTGTGGGCGACCCGTTGGAAAGCCAGGCCATCTTCTGGGCCACCTCTCCTCCTGGCCGCCCTTCGCCCACCCCAGCCCCGGATCCAGCTGGCTGTGTTCCCAGCCTGCGCTCCGTGCATTAGCCGAGTAACAGCGTGAATATAAGTTAATTTCATTCTGCTTCCCAAACAGCCCAGAAGCCTTTTAGCAGATCCGGAGAGAGAGAGAGAGAGGGAGAGAGCGAGAGCGAGCAAGCAGAGCAGCGAAGGAGGGTGGAAGTCAAGGGGTCCCTCCTTGGCCAGGGAGCTCTTGAGATGGATGGCACGGGGGGGGGAGCTCCTGGCCAGACCCTAGTCTCCTTCTTTGACCTTGAAGCAACCTTCTCCTCCTTCTCCCATCCCTCCTGCCTGCCTCCCCCCCCAGCTCCTCTGAGTTGCTCCTTCTGTGTTTTATGACTCTTTTTGCCTTGGAGGGCCAAAAGGTGGGGTGGAAGCCTCCTCTCCCCTCCCAAAAAGGGGGGCAGAGCAGCTCCCTCCCTCTTTCCCCCCCTTACAAACTAGGCTGTCAGGAGTACTAGCTGCTAGACACCCCCCACCCTCTGCACAAGGGAGTTAATCTGGATTAACTAACCATGTGAACAGGATTACACCGTTTGCAGGCATCTCTTTAACTCAGAACTCGCTCTCAGATTTGTGAACCCTTTAATCTGGATTAAAGCCAGTGGCTAACTAGCTCTCCTGCAGGGACTGGATGCGAAGGCCTGGGGTTCCCCCTCCCCACACCGCAGTACCTCCCCTGCCTGCGATTCTGTTTCCAGGGGGCAAAGCCCAGAGAGAGGGTTCCTGCACCCCAAAATCTGGGGTTATTCCCCAACAGCAGAATCTAACCTCCACGCAACCTCCTCCACAGTCCAAAAACTGCAATCTGTTTAGATCTCTTAGCAACAACCTCTGTTCTGTTCCTTGGCTAGGAAGGATCTTTTGTGCGGTTAATGGCCCTTAATGGCCTATATTCAACTGCAAAGCACCCCAACGACCTTGCATTCCAAGAGAAGAGCTCAGGGAAGGGTCCCCCTCAGGAGATCTTGTGGAGGCGCCTTAAAGGCTGAATGCATCCTGCTTGGCCTGAGCCAGGCTGAGAGGTAGAAGGGATGGTTGGAGGATGATGTCCTGGGCTGCTGCCACCCATGAAGGGGACAGCCAAGTGAATGGATGATGGCTCCCAAGTATCTTTAGACGGGGCAGGCGGTGCAGGCACCGGCCCTGTAAGACAAGGGGTTAAAATAATCCAGGCACTCAGGGATCCGGGCCCCAGATCTGGATCCCTGGTGGGGTGGGTGGGTGAGCGAGCCAGGTGGCTGGAAAACCTTTCCTCCCCTTAAGAATGCTTCCGTGGGGTGGCTTGATGGAAATGGGGTGGAGGGGAGCAGTGCCAAAGGGCACCCCTTACCCCTCCCACCCAAGGGTCCCCTTGTTACCCTTCTCTTGGCCCTGCTCCCACCCCACATGCCCCAGAGAGAGGCTTTCCAGTCATGTTAAATCACTTTTCCCCCACCAGGAGAAAACAAAAATCAAAACCAAACACACACTCTTGTAATGAAAATCAATCAGGGCATCATCTCAACCCCCCCCTTCCCCTGCCCCCCTCCCACCTGGGCGCAGCCAAGGATGAAAAGGCCTAAATGCCAGAGAGGGGCACAGAATATCAAACAGAAGACAAAGGCCTAAAGGGTGTGGGGGGGAGCGGAAGGCTTCAAGGACCAGCAGAAGACTCTGGGAGGAGGAAGAGGCAGGGGATCTCTCGGTGATTGGGAGGGGGCAGGAGATAACCCCCCCCATCCTGGGGACGGACACAGAGAAAGCCTGGACCCTCCCCCCCCCCCCGCATGCTCTCTCTCCCCACATTCCTGCTACCCTGGCTTTCAAATCCCCAAGATCTCTCTGCCCAGGTTTCCAAGGCTTCCTCTCCCCCCCTTCTGAAGTCTGTCTCCAGCCCTCCCCATTAAGCCTTAATTCCTGTTTTACGGATTGAATAGAGGAAGGGAGGCAGAAGGAGGCGAGAAAGGACGACGAGGTCCCAAGGAGCCGCCGAGAGGGATTCTGCCTCCTAAGACCAAGGGTCTCCCCTCATTTCTAGGCATGGGAGGGGGGTGGCGGCCAGGAGGTTGGACTAGATGTCCCCATGGGAGCCCCTCGCACTCTGGGTCTCCTGTTGACCCCTCGTCTTTTCCACCAAAGGCAGGAGGCAGAAGATGATGGGCAGCCACCTCTTGGCCCACGGGGATCTCCCTTCGCACACGGCGGGAGATTTCTAGGCCCTTCCGTGGGACCTGGCAGCCCCCCAAGGATGTAGTTTTTCTCAGTTCTGGCTCCTTTTACTTCTAGGATCTTCCTGCGGGCAGGTGTGTGGAGCTTTGGCCAGGCAACGACTCCCATCAGCCCTAGCCAGCACAGACAGGGGTGAGGTATCATGGGACTTGTAGTCCCACAACATCTGGAGTGCGGCAGCCAGTCAGGTGGGGCTGTGTAGCTGCTGGGGCTCTTTTTTACGGAAGTGGGGGAGCCTTACAGAGGCTGGTGCCCTTTCACGACCCCTTGGCTCAATAGTGGGGTGTGGGTGTTGTGTTGTGTGTGGCCCCAATCCCTCCAGTTGGCCATTCTTGATGCATTCGCCCTGCACAGGAGGGGCTCTGGGGCTGCTGCAAAACTGAAACGAATGCCTCCACCGAATGGAAACCGAGGCAGCGCGAAGGGCCGTATCCTGCCCCACACAACAAGTCAAGAGGTTTTAAGGACCCTCCACCAGTCACACACACCAGTTTACAATCCAGCTCACTTCCTCCAGTCATCTGAAACTATTCACTCCGCAAAGGCCTTGAACCCAGGCCCAGCCTT